CAAATAATGTAACCCTAGCAAGGTTAACACAAATTGCAAATTAGGAGTTAATTTGCTCTAGAAACTTGTCTTTTGGAACATCACCAATAAGATTTATATAAAGTATACTATATATGTAGAAGGCTATTGGTATTTATTTTATCTGCAAGTTTGAGGTCCATTAATGTCAGACAGGTCCAGGAACTCACAACTAACGCATAGAAACAGCTAAAAACCAGATGGACTGATTAGATTTGATCATAACTAATTTTCTCTTAAGTCTTCCTATCCCAATTCTGGAAATGTTGACCTTCACCTTCAACTCCATATATCTGCGTTTTCTGCCCTTGCTCTCAACTTGACCTAAGTGCATTTCTGCAAATCTGTAACGTCTCTACGATGACTAAGCTTTAATTATCATAGAAGAATTACAATAACTTCCTCCATTTTCCCAATGTCTCTACTGATTTTTGTCATGATTCAGGATTCATAAAAACACAAATTTCCCAATAAATACACTGTCAGGAAATCATTCCAGTAATCTCAAAGGCTTACGTGAGGAAAGCTCTGGCTCTGCCTCATTTATTGCTATACCCCTGCACTGAGTGACTATCTTATAGTCACTGTATTATAGCCACTTGAATATTCATTGAAAGACTGAGTAAATAAATGAATTTGTCCCTATTGACTTAAATTAAATATAATTTTGCTCTCTGCTAGAGTTCTTGTTTTGTTTTATAACATATTGCTTTATCTTGCATCTATTTACATGCAGGTTCTTTGGCTTTTCAATGAGTTTGTGAAATTGTGGGTAGGAATCCTGCTATTCACCCACATATTCCCCTGGTAGAATGCCTTACACCAAGCAAGTATAGTCAGCCCTCCATATCCCTGCAGTCAACCAACTGATGATCAAAAATATTCAGTAATAAATAAATACAACAATAAAGATAATATAAATAAAAACCAATATAGTCTAACAACTATTTGCATAGTATCATAAGGAATGTAGAGATGATTTAAAGTATATGGGAGGATATGTATAGATTATATGCAAATACTACAGCATTTTATTTAAGGGACTTGAGCATCCTCTGATTTTGGTATCCTTAGGGGTCCTGGGACCAATCTTTTGCAGACACTGTATTTGTATTCACTAACTATTTATTGATTACGTAATTAATAAAGCAAATGCTTAATCATATCAATGTGTTCAAATTAAACCCCAGTTAAAAAATTAAAATTTTCCATCCTTTCTGAGATAATTTATGATCCCATTTTTGTTCTTCTTTAACAAAGAGGAGATAATTCCCAGTAATTCCCTCTCCCACAAAGCCAAGGTCTTTTTAAAAAAAAAATTGTTAGGGCCAGGTGTTGTAGCTCACACCTGTAATCCCAGCACTTTGGGAGACTAAGGCAGGAGGATTGCTTAAGCTCAGGAGTTCCAGACCAGCCTAGGCAACATAGCAAGACCTTGTCTCTACTGAAGGAAAAAAAAAAAAAAAAAAAAGGCCGGGCATGGCAGTGAGCACCTATGGTCCCAGCTACTAGAGAGGCTGAGGTGGGCAGATTGCTTGAGCCCAGGAGATGGAGGCTGCAGTAAGATATGATCATGCCATTGCACTCCAGTCTGGGCAACAGGGTGAGACCCTGTCTCAAATAATAATAATTTATCTCTCTGTCTTCTGGAAAGTACATCTCTTTTTCTATTTCTCTGTCCTCCTCCTACTTAGAAACATGAATTGAAATCTATGACTAAATAATAAGACCTCTAATTTTACTTTGTCATGGAAATTGTTTTGCAGGCTAAATTTCTCTGCCTCCTTCTTACACTTCCTTCAGAGCCTTATGAATGTAAGCACCCTCGCTAACATCCTTCCCTAAATATCCAGCTCTCAGACTCCTCTGTCCCTTTCATTGTGTTCCTATGGATTGTTTTTGATTAGTACAAAAACGTGTTGAAATGCTTTTTTAAAGGCCATTTTGCTAATAGGATTTTCTCCTTTTCTTAGGACCCAACCTTAACCAGTTCCTGATCACACTGCCAAAGGCTGCGTGTGTTTTATGCACTCTCTCTCCGATACCTCTGAATTGAAACTGTTATTGTCCTACTCATTTGTTCTTTTCTACAGCAATTGTCCCCAAGATACTCTAAGCACAGATTTCCAATTGTACTTGAAGAATTGTCTGTCAGAAATAAAATACTGTCTATGGTTTTATATTAAAACATGCCATTGGCCAAGCATCATATATTCTGTATGTCTAGTAGTAGTAGTCCTTGATTATTTTTCTTCATATTCTATCCAAAAGGAACATTAAAACCTTAAGTATTGCTCTTATTTATTTTCAATTCACTTCAAAAAATTTTCATCATAATTTTAAATACTTAAAAGGATGTAACTTCATATGCATTGTAGCTATTAACATTTTAAAATAAGGTCATAATGTTCCTGTTTTAAATCTACCAAGTGGAATTTGAACACTATAGCAACTTGAAGCTCATCATCTTCCATGTACCCAAACATGAATAGACTCTTCTTTAACTGGTAGACACTTCATACCCTTTCTCCTTGAACTCACACTCATTGTGCTTCCCCCTCACCATTTTTGTGAATTACATAGTTATGCTTTAAGCTATGCTTAAGAATATTGTATTTATCATCCTTCTCCCTATATTAAAAATATATACAATTAAATTTATATTTAAAATTTTTTTGACCATAAGCTTCTACGTGTTGGATTACTACTCTAATTATTAATTCACAGATGTTTGATATATCATAAAGCAGAAAGTGATAAATAATAAATATAAAAAATTACCTCTTAATAATCTAGGTATAGCAGATGTCTTTTCAATAAGTTCAGTTGTCTGTGGCTGAATCTTACCTTTTGTTAGACCACGACAGCTAGCAGCATTAATACTAACTATTCCTAGCTTTCATCTTCATAGGCTGTTCACATAAATAAGTGAAAATGGAAGTAGGCCTGTTACAGCAATGACTTTATTCTTTGAACTCCAAGTTATTGGCAAATATCACATAATGATCTATCACCTTACATAATTTTTAATGATCTACCAGCTGACAATGCAATCAAGTCCTCCTTTAATTTGATCAAAAGCAAATAATTTAAACATAGCCATCATTTGAGTCACCTGTCATTACAGTCATTTACTGTCATGATTTCTTTTAAGTACAGCAGAAAGGCTTTACTGAGACTCAACAAAGAACTATTACTTATGCCTCAGACTCATCCACTTAAAGGCACCTTGTTCAGTCTAAAATACAAAGAGTTGGAAAAATGACCTTCAACAATGCAATTTTTTATAAAGTGATCATGCTTTATCACCCAATCAAAATATATTTTTGTCAAAACTTTGAGCTTACAGATTTAGAATTTTGTTGATGAAAATTGCCCATCATAGTCTAAATGGCAAACTAGTCCTCATCATCAAACCAACTAGTCAAATCAGACTTCTTGTGTCTATTCAAATACACATATTATTATGCATCCCCATGACAACTATGTCACTCCTGAATTCAGAACACCAACACAGGCCACCATACCTTACTTCTAAGGCCATGTGGTATTCTTCATAGAGATATGAGTTAGGGAAAGATGTGAAGCCCTACTTTGGTTTGTGATGCCTTAATTGGAAGATGCCTTGCTGAAACCAATATCAGACTATTCCTTTGTAAGGTGCCTCAGAGGTTTGTACACTTGGGGCATAGTAAGATGCTGGTGTATGCAAGGTAGTCCCTAACTTTGTTAAAACGGGCAGAGGGCAAGTGAGAAAGGGTAAAGGGAACCACCATGACATTTTTACTGCAGGTGTGTTTTCAGGCAGATCAGCTTAAGGGGAGTGTCCAGAGAGATGCAAGCTAAGGCTCTGGAAACGTCTTGTAAAACTGTGGTGCCCATGGACCTCTCATCAAGTCTTCATCTACCCATAAACACATAAAACAAACAGCTGTGTTTACTGAGATGGGAAACAAAGTAAATTAAAAATGCCGTCTGCTTCAAGAAATGATGAAATAGATATTTTAAAGAGCACCATAGCTTCAAACTATCAATACCTTTTTTTTTTTTTTTTTTTGAGATGGAGTCTTACTCTGTTGCCCAGTCTGGAGTGCAATGGTGCGATCTTGGCTTACTGCAGCCTCCACCTCCCAGGTTCAAGCAATTCTCCTGCCTCAGCCTTCCGAGTAGCTGGAATTACAGGCACCCACCACCATGCCCAGCTAAGTTTTTTTGTATTTTTAGTAGAGATGGGGTTTCCCATGTTGGCCACGCTGGTCTTGAACTTCTGACCTCAAGTAATCTGCCCCCTTCAGCCTCCCAAAGTGCTGGGATTACAGGCATGAGTCACCATACCCAGCCAATACTTTTAAATACATTTTTCATCACTCATACAATAACTACCCTTCCTATTAAGTAACTTGGGAAACAATATATAAGGCTCCTAAGTCTGTCTTTCTAACTTGAAGAATGTCAGTCTAACTTTTTATAGTCCTCTTCCAGCACTTACAGTTCTGCATAATAAACATTATAAATATAAAGCAGAGTGAGAAAAGGTAAAATATAAATGTGGAGCAGGAACAATGACTCAGCATGCTAAGTGCCTCAAAATGGCCCTTGCTGCTTAAAACACATTAGGACTTAAATTTTCTGCAAATACAAAACTGAAACAACTGTGGCCATTCATTACTACCTGTAATAATAACAGCAGTTATTTAGAAAAGCAGTTAAATCCAGGAGGTGCAATAAAACCAATTTGAACACTCAAAAGGAAATGATGTCAAACAAAATAATTTATATATCAATATAAACATTTGAGTAGCGTGACTCACATGGTTTTGAAAGGGAAAAAAGATCAGCTTAGCTTATATGTATATATATACACATACATACATATCTATATATACACACCTATATACATGTATATATATGTGTGTATACATGTATACATACAAACACATATATACATATTCGTTATTTCATTGAGATCCAATTACACTTACCGCCTCAGTATGAATAGGATGCACAGCAAAAAGCAATGCCGTTACAAAAGCAAGTCCACGATTCTTGAAGACAGTTTTATCACAGGTGTACATCAGCACAAAAGTCACTAAGCAGTGTAAAATTATATTTACTGCATGAAAGTAGAACGGGTTCATACCAGTCAAAAATATGTTAAGCCTAAAAAAAAAAAAAAAAGAAAAAAGAAAAAAATTGCATTTACAAACTCAACATAAGCACAAGGAAAGCAGAGAGAATCCATCATATAAAAAGATAAGCTGTTGGATTAATGATTTTTAAATGATTCCTAACATTGGGTTAATTTTTATCTTCGGGTATGTATCACATTTTTCCTATTTCAGAATGTCCCATGTGCAGAAATCCATGCATGTACAACACAATATTATTTCAGGGAACTTTGGTCTCACCGAGAAGGCAGGCAAACAGGTGCTGAGCCTGTCTGTCCCTCACTCTGTGGCTACTGCAAATACACTCCCTTAATATTCTTGCTTTCTTGCTGGCTCTTTCTAAGCAACTGAGTGTTGAAAGTCCAAACGGCGGTAGGTCAGAGTCACAGACACTGGAGATGAACAGAAACCATGAAACTACGATTGTAGTCACAGTTGGGACAAATGAGACATGAATGTGTTCTCTCGCCCATGGTGCCACCAGGAACCAGATAATGCATCTGGAAGCTTCATCTAATTACCACCCCACAAAGGAAGCTTTAGAGAACCTACATGCTATTACCAGCTGCAGCTGAAATGAAAAGATGAGCAAAAGCATCACGTTCCAGAATGCATATGAAATGTTTTTTAACAAAAATTCCCACAGATCTCAGTCCCTGATTTCTAAGACTGTTGCAAGGAAACTGAAAGAGAACCACAAAGGGAAGGAAAAACAATTGTTCAACATCGTAAAAAAATACTTTTATGAAAAAGAAAAGCAGAATAGAGAGACTTCTGAAGCTTGCCTTAAATTTAATAAAAGGACATAATGCACCCAATTGAGTCTGTGGGGTTACAGAAAAAATACTCTTGCGCAAGGTATGGTTCTTTTCAGGGAGCATCAATACCCTAAGTGGTCCTGACTATAGTTGCCTATACTCCAGTCCATTTTACCAAAACAGCAATACCGGGTCTTCAATTTGCAGGCCTTTGGTCTGCTTCTCTTATAGAAACAGCTCCTCTTTGCCAAAACAACTAAGAATGAAAAAGTCATCTTTAGAGATGACATACACATATTCTAAATAATTGACGTAATTGTACACAGCTTTAATCTACAGAATTTTAAACATCTCAAGCTTTATTTGGACATATGAATGTAAATGTCATACTTACTAATAAACTCCATTTTCACTCCCACTAAAGTAATCAGAGTTTTAACCAAGCCTAGAAAAATGAATTGTTGTATTGGATCCAACTCCAGGGCTCTGATGCAAGATTTGTCCCAGCTGTATGTTGGCAGACCCATGAGTCTGCACACACTGCAGCATCCTCAATACAGGAACCTGGTTGGAAATTACCCATCCAGAGGGAAAAAGGAATAGGCAGTGGACTAGAGAACTCACAGGTCCAACTAAAGCAGAGAGACCAGCATGCCATTCCTATGTAGGAACACACACAAGGCAGCAGGGCTGCTTCAAGTCAGAAAGCTTGGGATGGGAGAATTGTTAAGGAAAGGCAAGACCAAGTGCCGGTCCTTGGAGTACTCAGATACAGTTCCTTAGGAGCCCACCCCTCTGAGGCTGATTTGACACTGTTTTCCACTTCATCAGGCTGAGCCTTCCAGACTAACTAAGACATTCATCTAAAATTCATTCACACCAGTGAAGATGATGAGAGAAAACAGGCAATCTCACATCCAATTGGTAGGTGTCCAAATTGGAAGGCCTCTTGGTTGGTAACATGCGTCAGATGCTTTAAAAGGAATATACTTTTGACTGAAAATTCCACTTCCAGGAATTTTCCATAAGGAAGTAACCAGAAAAGTTTGTATAAAATACAAAATATATATAAAATATATATACACAAGTATATATATAAATACATATATATGTACATATACATATAAAATATGGAGAGTAAATATACAAGAATGCATCTCACAGTGTAAATTGTAAAAATGGCAATAGTGAGAAAGGCAAGACATCTAACGAACCAAATCCTTGATAAATTTGACTATTCTCAAGCATCCTAAAATTTAGATAATAAATTTGGATTACAAATAATAGCACCGTTTCTTAAAAGAGGACATAAGGCTTATTTTTGCAAAGTATATATTATTCGACCATTTGAAATCTAAAAAGCATTATTAAGGATGGCATTATTACTATATTACCATACTCTTTTCAGGTATTTAACATATATCCCTTTCTCCTTCCAAAAACAGTATAAAGGGCTGGGTGCAGTGGCTAATGCCTGTAATCCCAGCACTTTGGGAAGCCATGGTGTGTGGATCACCTGAGGTCGGGAGTTCGAGACCAGCCTGACCAACATGGAGAAGCCCCATTTCTACTAAAACATACAAAATTAGCCAGGCATGGCGGTGCACACCTGTAATCCCAGCTGCTCAGGAGGCTGAGGTAGGGGAATCACTTGAATCTGGGAGGCGGAGGTTGCGGTGAGCTGAGATTGCACCACTGCACTCCAGCCTAGGCAACAAGAGTGAAACTCTGTCTCAAAAAACAGACAACAAAAAAAATGGCATAAAATGGTAGGCATGAGTCACCTTTGTGGTTCATACGCATCATATCTGAAAATGTCATGGCACTATCCACGTTATTATTTCTTGAACTTAGTCAAGGTTTAGTCAACGTCTTAAAAAATACTTTTGTGAGACAGAAATGCAGAACAGAGAGACTTCTAAAAGCTGCCTTAAATTTAATAACAGGACATAATGCACCCAATTCCATCTGTGGGGTTATAGAGAAAACACACTTGTAGAAGATATGGCTCATGCATCAGAAGCTTTAAAAGTTACACACCAGAATGCCTGATGTTTGAAGTAAATTCAGTTAGATGCCAAAATATAAAATAAATTGCTGAATGAGGAGCCCCTGCAGTTATGATGTAATGGTGTGAAAGTCCCTTACCTGGAACCTAACATTGGTGAATCTAAGCTTTATGAAATCACCCTGAATCTGGAGTTAGGAGTATTTTTTAAATATCTAAAAAGATGGAGAGTGAATTCTCCAAATTGTAGACAAGTGAGCTTGAGACAAAATGCTAACAAAAGGTTCTAGCATATCCTACATGTGATCACGGAGAAAAGAATCTGATTCTGAGAGACAATATGGGTTCACAGAAAGGGGGTTCACTGATTAACCTCATAATTTAATAGAAAATAGGATGTGATAGATGCATTGCATCTTTATTTTAACAAAGGCATTTATCAAAATCTCCCTGCAAACGAGATAGCCTAAGACAGATTTGCAGCAAACACCCAAGAGTAGTGAATAATCAATCGATGTCTCCTCGGACTGAAATCTTCAGTGTATGTCACAGGGTTCTGATATTACCTCTGTTCTGTCATATATATACATATATACACACACACATATATATATATATTTTTTTCTTCTTCTTCTTCTTCTTTGAGACAGTGTCTCGCTCTGTTTTCAGGCTGGAGTGAAATGATGCAATCTCGGCTCACTACAACCTCTTCCTCCCAGGTTCAAGTGATTCTCCTGCCTCAGCCTCCTGAGTAGCTGGGACTACAGGCGCCCACCACCACACCTGGCTAATTTTTGTATTTTTAGTAGAGACAGGGCTTCATCATGTTGGCCAGGATGGTCTCAATCTCTTGACCTTGTGATCTGCAGGTCTTGGCCTCCCAAAGTGCTGGGATTACAGGCATAAGCCACTGCGCCTGGCCTTTATCAATATTTTAATCAAAGGTTTAATGAAACTATACAATATATTCTTATCAAGATTACAAAATGCCTTTATCTGGAAAGGAGAGTTAATACGCTGGAAGGCTAGCTGCCATTCACAAAGAGTTTAAATGGCTGAAATTGTTAGCTAATTCTAACAGGATTAGACAGAATAGTGGTAAGAATAAATATTCACATGGGGATATACAAGATAACAAAATACTTGCAGTCTAGATCAAAACTGTACATAGATAATTGCCTGAAGCTTTTATTTGCCTTCAACCGAAAGAGTTAATATGTCTTGGTTATCAAAACAGACCAAACCAGACAGACCGGGAACTGCACAAGTCAAACAATTTTTATTTCAATTTACACAATCACATATTTATTAAACATGTACTACATGTCAGATATGATTCAAGGTCCAGAGATATCAAGAGAAGTAAGATGTGGCATCTGTTCCCAAAGAATTAACAGCATAGTAGGAGCAGGCAAGGTAATTAAACAGCTAATTAAATGTTAAAGAATTCTGGCAATGGAAGAACCTACCAGGTGCAGAGACAGGGAAGAGGGAGGTATTCTACCTGAGGATGGGAGAGGCAAGATAGGTGGTATCCAATGTGGGGCAGCAGACCCTCAGAGTGCTTTTTAAACAGAGCACCTTCCCAGAAGAACTTCAGGATGCTGAGCAGAGAGGCAAGACCATCAGAAATGATGTCTCTTGAATGTAGGTCTGAGGAAATGGAAGATGCTCAGCCTAGAGAAAGATGACAGAAATGATGCCAAGTTCTCCAGGGGAAAAGAGCTTTGGCATATATATGGCTATATCCACAGTGTTTAGCACAATGCCTCATTCATGATTATCACACAATAAGCATTTTGGATGAATGAATACACATGAATGAATGAATGAAAGTAATACTAAAGGAATGCACTTATGCTAAGTAGCTCCCTAGGGAAAAACTACAAGTCAATAAAGATGTTGCAAACTGACTTCCGAAAGGCTAAGTTTAGCCTGCAGGTTGTTCTGTTTCACTTTCATACCTCTTTTCTATTTACCAGCGTTTTAAAAACAGGTGGCTTCACATAAAAATTTCCAGCTTCGGCTGGGTGCTGTGGCTCACGCCTGTAATCCCAGTACTTTGGGAGGTTGAGGCAGGTGGATCACGAGGTCAGGAGTTTGAGACCAGCCTGACCAACATGGTGAAACCCCGTCTCTACTAAAAATACAAAAATCAGCTTGGCATGGTGGCATGCGTCTGTAATCCCAGCTAGTCAAAAGTCTGAGGTAGGAAAATTGCTTGAA